TGCTGTCTTAGCATTAAAGACGCATCTGGAGAAATTCAAGGTTTTATCTGTAGAAACATAACTACTTTATTACATTACTACGTCTGTTTTGAATAACAAAATGAGAACTCTCATTAGGCAGAAGTGGAACTTTATCTGAATCTGCATTCTCCATGCGGCCAGTGGAGAATAGCACAGGTTTTTACGGTCACCTTTCCGTCTTCAGACGTCCCCCGTCTTTCCGCCCAGGGAGTCAGCCTTCCAGTGCACGTTGCGCTGCTGTCTGGGCGTCTCCCAGAAGGACTTTTATCTCCATCTTCCTGTGGTGGTGTTTGTCCCAAGTTAATTCTTTGTCTTTAAACTCATTGGCTGAAAGTAAATGTGGGAATATTTTTGCATTAGTAACTATCATATTGTTTAAATGTTAGACAACACACCACACCAGCTGTCACAGAACCTAGACGACTCCACTCCGGCTTCCTGCAGAAGGACACGCGAGGCATGTCCCTGGTGTCCCTCATTTCCCATTTTACAGCCCACGCTCTCGTGGAATTCAGCAATGGTATGGCTGATATTGTAGATAAAGCCCACGGTGAAATAAAGGCTTGAAACTCACTTCAAAAATGTACAATAAACATAATTTTCTACCTCTTGTGCTGTTTAAAAATGGATGGTTTCACGGCGTGGATGAGCCCCGCATTCTCTTACCTATTTACTGGTACAGATATGAACAAAGCCATTGCCGGGTCCTGTGTGATGAACTCAGGCCACTGTGGGAGCCTGAGAGAAGTCTGCAGCTCACAGGAGGCTGGACCTATGCGGTCCACCCTGGGACTTACGATGCTTTCTACTCATAGGATCTGAAATAGCTGTTTTCCTACATGTGACAAACGCTTGGAGTAGATTTCTGGCCTTGCTTCAGGGAATAGAGTGTTATCTGCCCAGCAGCTGGTTTGGAAAGACTTTCAGGGCATAAATCATCTTCAGGAGTTGGGGAGGCTTCTCCATCCACCTCAGCCCAGTAGTGGTTGCCTGCCTAGGACTCACAAGATTTGCCTCCCGAGTGTGAGGGTGGCACAACGCTGGGACAGGAACAGACACACTGGCCAGCAGAATGTTCTAAAGAGGAGCTAATTTTAACAAGGGAAGACGTGACAGAGACAAAATAGCATCCTGCACTGTGACCCCCAAGAAAACAGCGCAGCCTCTGTTCAGAGGAGCCCACACTGACCAGCAGCAGGTGCAAGACTGCAGTGCAGAAGCAGGGCGCGCGGGAGGCAGAGAGCCCCGAGACACAAGGCCACGGTGCGTGCGGAGAGCGCCACGCACATCACCTCTGCGGGCTGCACCCACGGAAACAAAGCCCAGAGTCCACTCGTCCCCAGCCAGACACTTGCTGCTGTGAGTCGCTCAGAGGGAAGCAGCAGGTAGGACTTGGAATCTCTGCTCCACAGCCAGAAGTGCCGAGGGTTAGGCTCTTGTCTGAAAGGCATGCACCCATGTCCTTGGAAGAACAGAGGACTCCAGGGAGCACCACGCTCGCCCAGGGAGGTGACATTGTGTGGTGAGGAGCTGATGGGATGTGCGTGTTGGGTTCAGAACCCCTGCTTCTCTTTACAGATGATAAGCACGAAGGGTCACCTTTGGAGGAGCTAAATTGTTAGATGACGACCTTTGTCCCAGGAGAGTGGCACTCTGACTCTTGCCGCCAGTGTATTTGGGCTTTTTCTCTTCATCAGCTGACAGAGGTGAAATTTTCCCAAAAGCAGGTTCCAATGCCTAAAATACAAAGTGCAGGGAAACTTTTCATGTTTTCGAAGGTAAAATACATTCTAATTCTAATACAATCAAGAATAATTGGAATGTCCTAGAAAAAAATAGGGTAGAAGGTCAGGGGACTTGGACTGAGTTTTCCCCCAACATGTTGATAAGAACAGGAACCCTCACGAACGTTCCAGAAGGAACCTTTTCAGAGCCGATGTTTGCTTTGCGTTTCTTATTGTGGTTCCTTGTTTCAAAATGATCACAGGATTCCCAAGGCTACAGAATAAACAGTGCCCAACATGTCTTACTCTAGGCTCAGTGTCTTCCCGGGGAATGTGTTAACGAGGAGGAAATGCGATGCTGCCTCTAGCGCTGTCTCTGCAACTGGTCTGACCCGAAAGGCAAACTCCCAACCTTCCCTGTTATCAGCAGACTCACCTGCAACCTGTGATCCTTCGGGTGGGAGGAGGTATTTTAGGTCTGGAATGCTACATTATTCACCACTCCGCTCTCTGAGGAGGAGGAGGGAGTGAGAAGGGGAGAGGGCTGCTGTGAACGAACCCTTAATACCAGATCCAGAGTGGCTCACCCACACAGCCATGCCCGCAGTCCCTGGGTGCTCACGCCTCCACCTTTCAGATATGCAGTCCCTAAAACTGCGACTACACACAGTTACAGCGATGCATATTTAAGGTGTGGAATTCACATATCCCATCTTCTTTCTTCAAATCAGGTGTGCTCTTGTGAGCGTAGAGCAGTTCTTATAAACAGCCCCATGGTGACCAATACGATGCACACAATCAAAAAACTATTTGGAAATTCACAAAGTTCTAATCTGGAAATAAGAGGAGGATGGAAACTGCAGGGCATGGGAGGACTGAACGGCACTTCATTGATTCTCGGGGTAATTGTTACCGTGACATTTCTCCTGACATACAATGACCCAAATGGGGCAGTAGATGCTATTTTTTAGTCACCGGCATACAATATATGCAGGGGACAGTCCCTGTGCGTCTTCTCTGCCTTCCCGCCACAGAAGGTACAGAATCCCAGGCTGTATTTGTCGCAATTTCCCCTTCTCTGCCTCTGATGGAGGAACAGCCTCCCGGCTTCTGCTCTTTCCTACACAGAAGGACTGGGCGCTTTGCTGTGATGAGAAGCTAAACCCGCTTTCTTTCTGAGGCGACAGAAGCCATCTCCATGGAAACAAAGCTCTCACAGAGCTCCCGAAGAGTGGAATAACTTCCAAGATTTCCTGCAGTTTCCTGTAGAGGAACTTGTGGCAGGTCTTGCTGTGCTGGGAGAACAGACCCCAGAGAAGGCTTCTTGGGACTGTATTCCATGGGGGGGTGTGTGTGTGTTGTAGTCACTGTGCCATATCAGAAATATTCCAAGTCCTAGAAGTACGGATTTAAAAGTTTCCACAATGAGTGCAGGTAGGAAATGTTAGTACTTTTCTTAGTCCACCAAGAAATATCCCCACTCACATTTGGAGGGTGTTCAGGTGGCTTCCTGTGTCGTTGCCTGTACGTGTAATCTTAATGATTCAAGTTGTTTAGACCCACGTGCAGGAAACAGAAGCCAGACAAGGTGGTGATAATACTGGCCACATTCACACTCTCTGAGGCTCCTTCTTTGAGGCAAGTGATCAAACGTGAAAGCTCAGTGTTCTATAACGGCAGTTGGTGCTGGGACGCACCGACTACTTCAGGGTGAGAATGCTGGTCCTTCCTCTGGGATAGAGCAGGGTGGTGAGAGGGACGGGGCAGGAAAGTCCTGGGCAGAGAAGGACGGGTCCCTGGCTAGGGCTCCACCCCCGGGCCTGTGCCCATGGACCTCGGCATTTCTGCTTTCATGCCCGAATATTGCATTTCCCAAGACCACCCTGACCCACCACGATCCCATCCTGTGCCCATAAAAATTCCCAGTGGCAGAGACACAAGCGGCTGGATGTCGAGAGGAACACATGAGCAGAAGAACGCACCGGCAGACACAGCAGACGCCAGCAGGCCATCGACTGGTGGAATGACGCAGAATTTGGTGGGGGCGGCCGGAGGAGAGTCTGGATGCTGGGTGGCCCAGCTCTGGGGAAAACCACCTTCCCACTCCATCCCCCTGCTGGCTCCCCCTTCTGCTGAGAGCTACCACCACTCAGTAAAAAGCCTTGCATCCATCCTGCAAGCCCACGTGTGACCTGATTTTTCCAGTACACCAAGGCAAAAGCTTGGGATACAGAAAGCCCTCTGTCCCGTGATAAGGCAGAGGATCTAACTGAGCTGATGAACCCCAGCTCCCCACAGCCTAAACTGAAAGAGCACCCTGTAACACACGCCCACTGGGGCTACAGCTGTGAACATTCAGCCCCAGACACTGCCGTGGGGCTGTGAGGCCTGCCCGTCTGTATGCTCCCCTAGAGGCTTCGGCAGTGGGGCACCGAAGAAGAGAGCCACACCCCCATCACACGCCCTGTGGGGGATCAAGGGAACTTCTCCCGTTTCAACAGGTCTCTACCTCATTCTTCACAGCTGTCCTAGAAGATGAACGGAGGCTGCCAGGACGCTGAGCCGGCTCTGGAGTCAGGCCGGGTTCAAACCCCAGCTCTGAGTTTTCCAGCCCATGGCTGTGATGGAGTTAATAAGAGCATGCATTTCATCGAGAGTAAGACCATAAAGCTCCAAGTCTAGTCCACGTAAAGTCCCCAGCAAGGCTTTGCTGCTGCTGTCCTGAGACCCCCTGAGCTGTTAGAATTTTAGACGTGAGACACACACCCGGAGGGCTGGGCTTCGGTCTGCTGGAGCGCCAGGTGGGAGGCCTCATGCATCCAACTTTTATCAGTCACCACTTATGGGAAATGGAGCTGATGGAAAGACAGCAAGCCCTCCCGCCACCTGCAGCGTGAGTGATACCGATACCTTGTCATCCAGCAATAAAGCCCACATCGTTACGAGGACGCTATTTTTACATAATGCACACCATACAAAAACGCAAATGCCCCGTAGGTCCCAGAGTGTGCGATCCCCGTCCCGCGTGTGGGGAGGCTGCAGGCTTCTTCTCGGCTTTCCACTGCGGCTGCGCCAGAGCTCCCAGCTCTTCTCGGAGCTCCAGGCTCTGCTTCCGCAAAGCATCTGTGTGACTCTGGAGTTTCCTGTGAACGTCAGCCCACAGCGACTCCTGCCTCCCGAGCTCTTGGTGGAGTCTGGTGATCTGCTGCTGTAATGGCTGTTATTGGGAAGAGAACACCAGAAAACCTCTCAGATATCACACCACCACATTCCTCTGCAAAATACCCAAGGCCTCTCTGACGCAAGATCGACTATTTCTAGACAAAAAGACACCCAATGGGATAAACAGGACTACCGCAGCCTTTTCCTTTCTTTCTTTCCTTTCTTTTTTTTTTTTTCTTTTTTTTTTTGAGGCAGACTCTCACTCTGTCACCCAGGCTGGAGTGCAGTGGCATGATCTCAGCTCACCGAAGCTTCAATTTCATGAGCTCAAGTGATCCTCCTGCCTCAGCCTCCCCAGAAGCTGGGACTGTAGGCATGCACCACCACACTTGGCTAATTTTTGTACTTTTAGTAGAGATGTGGCTTCACCATGTTGCCCAGAGTGGTCTCAAACTCCTGGACTCAAGTGACCCATCCACCTCAGCCTCCCAAAGTTCTGGGATTACAGGCATAAGCTACCATGCCTGGCCACAGCTTTATTCTTATTAAGCAGTGTTTATTATGAGTTAGTGCACATAATATAACCAGACAAGGATGGTAGTGAGCTGTGATTCTTTGTTAAGACACTACTACAGCAAAGAGTCTGGCATTCTTTTCCCTTTTTTTTTTTTCTTTTTTTTTTCTTTGAGACTGTGTCTTGCTCTGTCAACCCAGGCTGGAGTGCAGTGGTGCAGTCTCAGCTCACTGCGACCTCTGCTTTCCACGTTTAAGCAATTCTGGTGCCTCAGCATCCTGAGTAGCTGGGATTGCAGGCACATGCCATCAAACCTGGCTAATTTGTGTATTTTTAGTAGAGATGGGTTTTGCTGTGTTGTCATGTTGTCAGGTTGACCTCAAACACTGCACTGGCGTGGATGGACCGTCAACAGTTTAAAAATTCTGGAAGGCACTGCATTTCAACCTGACATGTCAGCCTTCCCATGATCCTTCACTGGACCGTAGAGGCTGCAGCCTTGCCCTGGGAAGCAGCAGGATGGGGATAAAGGTACAGTCCTGCACTGCGTGGCCCTGGCCACAGGGACCCGTGGGACTTTAATGAGAGCAAGCACTGTCCAATGGGGTCTGGCGAGGAAGTGGGTAAAAATCAGGAAGCTTGCTGGGACGACGTGAGGCATGTCAACCTTCTGATTTTCTTTAACGAAGTTTTTAAAGTCTGGTGCCTTCTCCTGGACTTGAGGAGAGAAGCTGGAATGTTCAAGTTTTCTTTAACCCCGCCCTGCCATCCACCAAGAGGGAAGGTTGCAGAGGACAAGAGCCACGTGTCCTCAGGGAGGAGGTACGGCATCAGCGTCCTGGGGCAGCACTTTCCTACAGAGGTCTGGCGAGGGAAAGTCCAATGACGGGCCTCAGGGACAGGAATCAGGGTCCCGCCTGGTGGGACTAACTCTGTCCCCACAGAGCTCAACTCACTGGCATCTCCTGGGCGTTGCTGTCCTCCCTGGGGACCTCGGCTGCCACAGCTGTCTTCTCCGTGTCCGCCCCAGCTCCCCGGCATGGGTCCTCTGGGTGGGTGTCCTCCTTGGGTTCCCCGGCCTCCAGCTGACCCTCCAGCATCCTGGTTTGGAAGGGAAGGGCCATGGGGATGCCTGAATGCAGTCACCTTACCCCTGAAGGCTCAGCCTCAACCTAAGGGTGAGCAGGAACCACAGCCACTCTTCTCCCCCTGGGTCGTGTGCACATTCCCAAGCGGGAGGCTGACCAGGTGAAAGGACACACAGAGAGAGGGGACTGAGCGGTCCACACCTGGCTTTCCAGCATCCTCCATGGAAAATGCTCAGTTCCTAGAAGATCAGCCTGACACCTAACACACTCTTACCATCCAGAGAGAGGTGTGAGTGGGATGGTCATGGGGTGTGAGTGGGATGGTCGTGAAGTGTGACCAGGTGTGAGCAGGGTGTGAGTGGATGGTTGTGTGCGACACTGAGGGAATTCTGGGCCCTTTAATCAGCACCCATCTGGAGGGGCAGAGGAGACCCTCCATTGTGTTGAGTCTGAGTCTTGAACCGTCAGGGCGGCATTTGTGAACTCATGGTGAAGACGTGGAAAAGAAACACCTTTTTATATGTAAGCATTTATGCCAGTTCTAGGAAGCTCACAGCAATCAGAAAACAAAAACGAAAGAAAAAACGCAAAGCTTTCCTGCAAGCCTGCGGGGTCCTCTCTGAAAGCCGCCTCCACCCCCGCCTGGTCCTCTTGGTTGTAGGAAGCCAGGGGCCCCCAAGGAAACCCCGACTGTTTATTCACAAACTTCTAACTGTATAAAACATGAGAATGAGCAGCTTCACCACAGTGACCAGAGAAATGCTGTTGAAAAGAGAGTCTCCTGCTGGGAGCAAGCCGAAGGTCAAGAGCAAGACCTAAGGTCACCGGATCACTGGCCACTCCTTCCCCACGGGGACTGGGACAGTTTCTGCGCAGGTGGGCAGGGGTCCGCGGTCTTCACAGCCCTGAGAAAGCGACTTCTTTCCCGCTCCTCGGAGGGGATATCCCAGTGTCCTCGGCCCCAAACTCGTGACCCTCTCAGTCCGGAGAAGACCCTTCCCTCAGCCCAACACCAGACCTTGTCACCTCACCTGGTCCCTGACGCTCACGTCTGCCGGGACGGGATCATCTGCGCCGTGTCCCCACGGCTGTCTCCAGCCCTCCCGCCTCGTCTCCAGAGCCGAGAGGGCAGCAGACGCTTCCAACAGACTTTCTGTCTTACAGGGGCGTGAGCGCCTCACTCAGCGCCACCACTGTGCTACTCAGATCGCAATTAAACACCCAAGCCTGCAATTCTGATACCGAAGCTCAGCGTCAGTGGAGTCCATCCATCCACAAAGGACATTGGAGAGAGTCAAACGGCTCCTCCCAATTCACAAAAACAACGTGCTTAATATCAAGTCTTCAACATGCAACGTAGAGTAAGAGCTCATTTCTCCGAGCAGACATTCCTGAAAAAATATCGACGTTCTTTGGATGCCAAGTTATTTACTAGAAAAAGCATTTTTATGAAGCGAAAATAATATATACGAGTTTAAGTGGAGACAGAATTCAGAATTTCGTCATTTCACCCCAAATGCATCTCCATCTGAATTGTCTGTGTGGTTTTTGTGCTAGAGAACGGGGGGCAAGGAGAGTCGACGTTCCCGTTAAACCCTGGCCGTCCTTCCGCGCATGCTGCTGTGTGTGGAAAACACACACCTGTGGCTCCCCTGCGCCTGCCTGGGACGTGTATCACTCGGATGGTTCTGCAAGAGACTCGCACGCAACAGGCGGTAAACGCCAACGTCCCGAAGAAAATACCACAAAGAGGAAACAGAACGCACTGTTGTCCCCGTGCCTCATTTTCACCATGGGCCTGTGTGGGTCCTGAGGTGTGTGAAGGGTGTGTGTGTCCTGGGTTGTGTCCTGAGGTGTGTGAGGTATGTGTGTGTCCTGAGGTGTGTGAGGGGCTGTGTGTTCTGAGGTGTGTG